ATGGCATATGTTTAGAAACCAGAAAAGAGAAATGGGGAAGTGTCAGTGCGCCAGTCAGAATGAGCTTCAGCTTATTTCAAGACGAAGTCATGGGCTTGCTCCTTTTACATGGCAGGTATGCCAGAACACCAAACGCTATACTGTATGATTGGTGACACAGAAAATGTAAGTATAGTGTAAGTAGGGACCTACACAATCTGTGATTTTACAAAATTGGGAATTGTCCATGAAATCCATACTAAAAATAAAGTGTTGGCTCCCAGATGGAGCCACCAATCCTGATGGCCACTCTGACCTGCCCATGCAGCCTGCCAGGGTGGGGAAGGAGAGGAGGAAGACTGCCCACACAAAAGGGAGCAGCCAAAATGGCTGCCTCCCCCCCAACCCTAGTGCAGATTGGCTGAGAGAGCTGCCTGTTGTGAGGCCCTGCCCATCTCCACCAATCAGCAGTGAGGAGTGTGGCCACTGGGACCCTTTGGCCAATCAGAGGCCTGGGCATTCCTTGCTGCGATAAGCCCATGAAAATCACAGTCAGGCCCGTGATCTGCCCACAAAATCAACTGCCTGCCTACTAGTTCTGGGTCAATTCCTAAGTACAGGGAGTCCAAAATGGCCAACAGTGTCTTTGCACATTAGGGTTTGTTGGTGCTGTATAACATTCCCATTAAAGGTATAGTGTCAAGGGTAAAAAGATAAAGATTTTCTAACCAGATTCGGAATATCTTAACCTTTTTGAGACCCCAATATAGTTTAACATAATGTTATAAACGGAAATTTATTTTCAAATGCATAAATATAATTGAAATACTGACCAGTGGTGAGTCTTCATACATAATAAGACCATCTTTAACTGAAGGCTGCTGGGTAAGGCTCTGTACAGTAGTATCTCTGAGATTAAAGGGGAAAAAGGAAACAAAAGAAAACTGAATTTATCATAAACTGAAAGAAAAAACTGAAAGCTCTATTTGAGATCAACACCGTAGAGTTTTCTCCCTTTAAGAAGAAAAGGAATTATAAGTGTAAAGCTCAGAAACAATCAGCTTTCTACAAAAATTCAGGGAAGTAGTATATAAGGTTGCAGATTTATAACATACCGTATTTACCTGAATGCAAGGTGACTTGGAATTTAAGATGTCCCCCAAATAATAAATTCTAGGCACAGACAATTATCAATCTGTGATAATTTTCCATTTCTAATTATTGGACAGTCATCTTAAATTAGTTGTCCCTCCCCACCCCCCTGTGGTGGGAAAGCAGTGGGGCAAACAGAGGCAGAGGAACAGGGGGGTGGATGGTGGGGGAACAGGCAGCCTGACCCCTGTCCCTTCCCCCCGTGGCACCTCCCCCCCCAGCACTTATCCCCTGCCACATGCCTGCCAGCACATGCCTCCCTAGCTGCTGCTCTGCCATCTGCCTCCCCTTCTCTCCACTGCTTTCCCCAGCTGATCCAGGAGGTAGGGAGGGAAGCAGGCAGCCTAACCCCTGGCCCTTGCACCTCTTCTACCAGCCCTCCCACCACTTACCATCCACTGCCTGCCACCCTAGATTTTCCTCCCCAATTGACCCCAGTCACCTGCCCCACTCTTCCACTGCTTTCCCCAGATGCAGGTGGAGCCCCAGAGCCCCTCCTGAACTGCTTCTGTCCCACACCTCAGGAGGCAGCTGTGCAGGGAGCTCAACTTGGCAGCACACAGGCTTCTCCTTCCCTCTCCCCTGCTGCTCAGGAGGAGGCTGGAAGGAGGCACCTGCATGCTGCCACAGCTGCTTCCTGTATTGTGGGGCAGGAGAGGGTGATGAATGGTTCTGGGCCTCCCTCCGTGTCTGTGTCAGCTAGGGGTCAGACTGCTCCAGCTAGAAGCTGTGAGGAATGGCTGTGCAGGGAGCCTGGCTTGGCTGGAGACTGCAGCAGCAAAGTACAGATTCCTCCTCCCCTGTCCAATTCCCTGCCAGAGAGGGAGGCTCAACGAGGGGAGCTGGGCACGAAGCAGGAACCAACATGCTGCTGATGCTGTCCCTGGCCTGGCTGAACTCCCTGAACAACCAGCTGAAGTGGTCTGATACTCCATTCTAAATGAAGCTCAATGGTGAACGAAGAAGAAAACCTTGTCTTGGAATCAAGTAAATATGGTAGGTAAAGTCATGGGGTACCACATTATTAGCTGCATGGAAACATTCATAAAGTCTCACATTTTCCACTTTATTTTCTAGGACTAAAAAGAGAACTAAACTGAGGATTTAAAAGATGATCAAACTGATCTTAAATTGATATGGAAATGTTAGTGTTTGGCAATACTCACTGTCAACCTGTTTGAGCCTGGGAAAGGAAGAAACTAAAAACTGAACCTATTTTTTCTCATATGGAAATGTAGTGCACTACCATTAGTTCCATTTTATCTGTGCTTTACATGAAAAACAGTTTCAAATGGCAAAGAAATCCTGTACAGATGAAGCAATCAGGAATTCATATTGTTAAAGTGAAGCTCAATTAATATTTTAATGGTGATATTCCACGTTATTATTTCTGACAGAAAGCAAGATTATAAACAGTCCTGAGAAAATGCATCATCTTTATACATTCCACAAATATATACAAATGTATGTATATGATTTGATTCAGTGAAAATTCCTCTCCTTATCACAGCTATCTATCGTTACAAAACTGTTTGCTCAAGCTAAGATTATTCAGCACTCTAAAATTCTACAATAGTGTCATCTTTAATTTTGTAACACTTTGTAAGAAAACAGAACTTAAATAAACTTCATATGCCCAGAAAAGCAAACATTCTGTTGTTTTCAGTAACTTGTTAAATGGCCAGCTTCCAACTTTAACTGAAATTTAACATCCAAATTTCCTTTATTTAAAACTACTGTCAGTAGCATTCTATTCCCAACGAGTAATACTTCCTTGTTTGTCTTTACAGTCATGATTGATCTGTCCCAAAGTCTCCTGTGCACATGATAATACAGGAAACCGAGTGAACTATTTTCTTATTTAACCACTTAAAAAAAAAAGAGGAATATGAAAAAGTTTTGAAAGGAGGAATGGGGGGGGGGGGGGGGGGGAGGAGAGGAGGGGAGTTGAAAAAATCTAGGTTTGTATTGCCCCAATCAGAAGGAAAACTCTGAACAAGACTGTAACGAAAATATAAATACTAAATTAATTTTCTGCAGAACAATGTTTTTTCTAGACAAGTATAATATGCAAAATCATTTCCCCACTATCTTAAACCTACTATGACAGTAAAGCAATTTGTTTATTGTCCCCATTCTGTCATCATTCTTGTCTTTCACAGAGAAATTAATACTGGATGTAGCAAACATATAAACCCAGACAATGTTGTAGCTACCTTTTTCATTCTTTGATTACTAATTAATTACAGTCTGCTAACTCCCCATATAGTGTAAATTAGTATAGCTCCATAGAAGTTATAATCTTTAAATACAGGAGCACTGATAACACATAAGCCATGCCAACCAAAGACGAGTGCATGCACACAATGGTCAATGGACAATTAAATCTAAAATAATTCATGGGACAAATGGGCTTTCAGGAGACATTTGAAAGCTAAAAGAAGATGGGCCTATTCAAAGCAGAAAGTACACAGACAAGTACAATACAGAAGGACAAAGGAAGCCATCAGGAGGGAAGCCTGGGTAGAGTGCAAGGCACAGACAGGACAGGGAATTGTATAATATTTTGAAGATTACAAGTCTGAACTTATTAAGAAGTAGGAAGAGCGACTGTAGAGACAACAGAATGCAGTTTAACCCAATGAAAAAAACAAAAAAAAATCCTTCTGTACCCCAAAACAAGCAATTGTAGACCTCAGCATAATGAAAGGAAAGGCAGGATGGAGCAAACAAATTGCTCCATGATCAAGGAGAATGAGGATGGGGCCACTGGATTTATACAGGGTTTTCAGTTTTGCCGGGCTAAGAGAAATCAGTGTAGATCATTCATCTGAACTTAGAAGAAAAGGAGAGGAAAGAAGCTTGGTCAGGTTTAGAGTTGGACAGAGGATTTTCTGACTAATGAAGGATTTTTTTCAGTTAAAAAAGTAACCCCAAATCCACATTTTTGTGACTGAAACAAAATGCCACTGATACACACACACACACACGCATGCATGTATGTGTGTGTAATACATATTTATACACACACGCAAATACATATTTATATGGACATACACACACACATATAGTGGTGTTTCATTTTAATCACGAAAAAATGTGGATTTGGGGTTACTTTTTTTTAGTCTGAAAATTGTTCTGTTTTGGTTTTTTATCAAAGAAAACCAGGATCCCAGATGAAGACAAAGGCACATTTTAAAGATGAAACAGAAAGACAAAAGGGAAAGGCATGAAAAAGAGAAGAAGCAACAAGAGAGAAAATGTATACAAGAAAACAGTGGGAAGGAGCAGAACTCACTGAGAGCGCAAAGGTGTTATATAACTTCTATCAACGTGCAGAAGTTCCTGTGTGTGCACAGCAAATTCCAGGACATCTCAGTAAGAAGAGCAAATCTGAGGGCATGGTATTAGAAGGTTCCTGGGATGGTGAATAAACAGTTGTGAAATCTCTTCTCAGTTCCCTAATCTCTATTCCTTCCCTGTAGTTTCTGGTTTTTCACAATATTTTTATGAAACTTCTGAGGGGTGTTCAACTCATCAGAAAAACTGAATATGTTGTGTAGATATATATAATTCTACTAGTCACCCTCCTGATCTCCTGACAAAACAGACCTGAGTATTTGCTTAGCATGGCTGTCTAATTTTGCTAGGGTTAATAGGCATAATTTTAAGTCTCAAATAACAAATACAAGATATGCAGTTAGTTTTCATTAATGTCTCTCCATCAACAACTTTAACATGGATTAAATGCTAAATGGAATTAAATTCCATTCATACAATAATGGAAAGTTAATAAGAATTGACATATCTTTTGGAAAATCTCTGTATTTATCTGCTCTACAAAAAAGTAAGGGGAATAACAATTAAATGACTGAGAACTGGCAACATTCTAGTCTGAAAGACTTTGGAATGCTGTAAAAATCTGAGTACATATTGTAAGACCAAACTATAAATGTCTGGAATTCTTGTCACCAAGATGAAGAATTTTGCTCCCAACAGCAAATGACCTAAAAAGTCTCGGTTTCCTAGCCCATGTTTACTAATTAGATACCACCAAGCCAGACTCTAATATGGACATGAACAACAGAGCCTTTGTAGGTTCATAACACTTGGTATATAAGATCAAGGCACAGCTGACGTAGGGAAGAATGGATGCAAGAATGTAAAACCAGGTGAGAAAAAACTGGCTGACAAATTGTCCTCTTGGTTGAGCCAATTAGTTCTGTACTATTCTTAAAAGTGAAAAGTAAGGCTCAATGTCTGGTTTATATCTACGTAGAGACCACCTTCAGTCCTACCCTTTTCCCCCAGGTCAAAAAATGGCAGGCAACAAAATCCAGCAGCTCCTGCTGCTCCTTGATTCTTTGCAAGGATGTATTGGTCATTTCTCTCTCTTTTTTTTTTTTTTTTTACAATACTTACAGAGCTATGGATTGGCATTACGTTTGTGCTGAGAGAAAAGTTTTTCATTCAACACAAAAAGAGAGCATACAGTGTTCAAGGTGTTTGCATACAGTGTTCAAGGTGTTTCTTGTGGAACAGAATTGGCTCTTCTGGAAGAAAGTTAGATCACTTCTGACCACAAAACTCTCTCTCTTCCTGCACTAACTTGAACGGATGCATGCTTGTCTTGGATGGCAATGATTTCCAATATCTCACAGTCCCCTGCTTTCCCTCCCTCCCTCCCTCCCTCCCTCCAAAGGAGGCACTGGCTCCATGAAAGCCCACCCAGGAGTGTTCTGTCAGGAACTTCTATG